TTTTTTTTTTTCTTTCTTTTTGTCATTTGAACCTGTGGAGAATGTCTGATATCACGTGTTCAGTACCTCATGGGATCTGCACTGCGGATGAGACGAATAAGTAAGATAGGTATTGCTATCGCTTATAAGCTGTGGCCTCGGGCAGGAATTTTTTAAAATCTTTCATCAGATCTGGCTCCGCGTCAAAAAGCTCCTCGACCTGCTCATACACCTTCCGCAGAGGCAGCGACTCCCGCTGATACGCCTGTAAGATCAGAAGAAACTCGCTAAAAAGCTCCGGGCGCTCAGCAAACCGATCCTGGTGGGCAAGTCCTTAGCATGATGTGCAAGAAGAATACCATGGGCTTCAACAAGATACGTACCTTAACCTTATTCACAAAAGAAACCGCATCCATTGGCCCCAGACAACCATCATTGCCGGAGCCTTTCTGCGACGAGCGCCCAGGCTTAGAGGACGACATGCCTGTCGATGCAATTCTCTCTGATGTCACACCTTCCTTCGTCTTACGTTGATCAGTGGCGGACGTGGTCGAACGAGAGGCCTGCACAGACGAGGGAAGACTCTCTGTTTGGGATGCGTCGGCTGCTGGTCGCGAGCGTTCCAACTCAGATCGAGTCTTGACCAAATCTACTTTGTCTGACAGCAAGCCGAATTCTTCATGTGCCAGAAGTCTTGTAGTATCATCACCTTCCAGCTTTAACGTGTAAGTCAAATTCCTGCTGGACGCCCTGAATGCAAAGTCTCATCTTATTAGTCATCGTCATTTCAGTTGCCCCAAAAGGTAGCAGTAACCAAAACCAAGAGAAGGAATACCGTTCAAGCACAGTAGGATGTTCAAGTGCGACCGATATCCCGTACAGAATGTGCAGAATAAGGAGTAATTGTCTCCAAGAAAGAATCCTACGCGACACCATATCTTGCTCTGTGTAAGGAAGGCTGACACGAAGTTTTCTCGCGTTTAGCTTGCCAAGAAAATGATTGCCTCGGTCTATTGTCAACGTAGTATTGGTCAATGTTGCAATACGAGAATCGTAGTACTTTCATGTTTAGCCTTCGAGACGGCAAAAGGTCCCTTAATAGCATCACTTTATGTAGAAATCAGAGGTTCTGATAATTCTTCCCCATACTTGCACATCATGTTGCTTCAAGGTAGCACTTTTATAGTATATAGTCAACGTTCACAGTGCTCAGTTCACAGACACTAGAAACACTAGAAAAGCTCCCAGCATTCCAAATTACCCCACATATTGCAGTACATTACCGAGAGACTCCATGTACTAACTAGCTTGCGATGACCTCTAGAAATGGTGCTAATTGAGTGGATACCCCGCCTACCCAAGTGTGGGATTATGGGCGCCAAGTGCAAATCAGTCTCTAAAGAAGATCTTACCCAAATAGAGTAAGTACATTTCGACCGAGCAGATATAAGTACGTAGCTAAGAATCCTTGGCGGAATACATAGGCCCAGCTACTTATTTATGCAACCCAGTACGAAATACAGGTCAACAGTAGACATACTCAGCGGAAAGGAAAACATTAACACATTGAACAAGATATGATAGCGCCCACGAACTATAGCTCCACCGCTGAAGGAGAATATAAACCCCTTCCATAAGCATGATCCGGCACGAACGCATTGGGTGAGATTACTATCACATCTCATCGCAGACGTGAATACACTGGAGCGGGGGAGGCGGGGTTGATCAATCTTCTTGCCCATTAAAACTGAATATCAAATGCCCATTGCGGACTAGTGGAGTCACAGATTCGGGTGGGTGGAATAATAATTATACGGCAAATCATTGTTGACCAGTTCCTGCTACGATGTTTCAGTTGTACTACTATTAGCGTCTTCATTACTTGGGATTGTTGGTTGATTGATCAATTGAGCTTTGTTCCTAATATCCCTAATATAGAGGTTTCTCTGGTATGATATCAAAATATGTAACATCTCGCGAGGACATGGAGACGATAAAAAAAAAAAAAAAAAAAAAAGGGAACCCATAATAAAAAGAAAAAAGAAAAAGGACTACACCCGTAAAAAGACTACGGCATCACGTATAGGGGAGAGACTACTTGCTCTTGTCCTTAGCCCACACGTCAACGTAAACATGGCCCAGAGGTCCTGCCTCTGGGCTCCATCCCCCATGCTCGATCCTGTATTTGTCACTTTCATCCAACATTTCGACGAGGTTCTCGCGTCTCCCGTCACGATTGTCCCAATGGAGTTCGCAAATCTTGTCGTCGCCATGGAACAAGTCCAGACGACCTTCACTGCCTCTACGTCCGTGAGCACAGATTTCGCCGATGCCGTCGGAAGGGATCACGATGTCGTCGATCTCGTCTTCATGGATCGATTTTCTACGATCGTTGGGGTTGTGGAATTCGCCACTGCAGCGAGGTTAGCAATGAACATGGCCGAACGAAGCGATAAGACATACTCCTCGATGACGGTATGTCGCACGGAGATCTCGCCGTCCTTCAGGTGGTCCCGAATATGGAACTCGACCCATTTGGAATTGTACTTGTTCATGTCGGTGTCCATGGTGTTGTGGTGTGAAGGGTGATTTATATTAGACCCGAGAAAAGAAGATGATATAAGTGGGCGAAAAGCCTTGAATGGTCAATGAAGATTAATAAAGTAGGTGAGTGAACAATTGACTGATCAGGCAAGAGTGAGAGAGGAGACGACTGGGTATTTATTGATTTCCCAGAGAGACAATTGTTCAACAAGTTCACTTCTGCATTCTATGGGGTGATTGATTGATGGAAGACGTCATGCAGTGGATCATATGACGAGACGATCAGACAATGCGGTTGGCCGATTCGGTCACCCGATCCACGGAACCCTAAACATTCTTTGCGGAGAAATCCTGGGGGAACAACAACCTAGAATGCTGTTGATCCCCCTCTTTTTTCTGCATTGAGCGGGTTTTCATAGGCCCTACGGGACGAAGCTTAGGTGGAGAAGAAATCGTCGCGTCATGCATTCATTTCGGCGAGTTTCACCAAACTGTTGATCAAACTTCCCCATACTCTCCTACCCATGGTGACTTTTTATTTTCACCTATTGTAAGGATGTTATTTTCTATGTTTCTGTCTTTGGTTTTGTTGTCTTCTTTCCTTTGTGTCCTATGGTTCAACTGCTTTGGTGCACTAGTCATTTACTTTTCTTTCCTAGAAACTTTGATAGACCCCTGTTGCCAAACCAGCGTTCCAACTGGTTACTTCTAATCCTACCCCAGATATCCGAAGGAATTGACTCTGCAGGTAGCACACGCGGCAGGCTCCGGAAACGCCTCCGTGCCAATAGATCCTGGTTCTCATATCTCGGTTCCACCACACAATTCCAGGGCTGGATGTGGTTGTGGTGCCACGGCTGCACCTGGCTTGCAGTGGGCACGCAACCCCTCCCAAAACTTGACTAACAACACAGATTGATGCCGTCGTTCCTCGGATACGACGGTCAACCTGAGCAGGAATGGGCTTATCGAATAATGACTGAGTAAAAGGAATATCCTCTGCGTGGATTGGAATCCAGGCCATGCTTTACCAACCACTCTGGACAACGTCGGAAAGGCAAGATCGAACCGAGCAATGAGCGATCGTCGTTGCAACTACTTGAATTGGTCAAGGCCCATTTATTGGTCTCGTGGGCACCAACAGTAACCACTGAGAGCGGACGCCGAAAGTTTGAGCTTCTGTGGCAAGCCAACGACATGGTTGCCTTTCTGTGGGGAAATTTGCTTGGCACGGGGCAAAGGTACTGAGAGTCTTGAGAGTCTAGAGATTCCAATCCCACCCATAGATCACGCGGTTGATAACGCCACTCGGCGTGGCTTCATTCATCCAAACATTTCCTACTGTTGATCGTTGTTGGTCAATGGCAGGATCTACCTACCTATTACTAGAAGTTATTGGTTCTGGTAAGGACGCACGCGACGGTTGTTGTTGTTGTTAGGGTAACCCATCCCACCCAGTGAGCCATTTTGATACTTCTTGTATTCTTATACTCATACCTATATTTATTTTCGATTTCTTCTAACCTTGCAAATGAAATGTTTTTCTGGTTAGTTCCAACCGTATAGCAACCTGATCGCTTCCGAATATGTCGCAACAGCGTTCAAGACAGAATATTTCGGAGGCAACAAAGTGTAAAATCATGAATGTGAGTTAGGTACATATATTGAATGAAATCGTTAATGAAAATCTCCTACTGGCAAATGAGTGTCCCCTACATTCCTCTTCCAATTAATTTCTCTCTACATGCACTTCCTGTCGCACGCATATGTGATTCATGTATTGAGAATTTTCTTCTTCGATAGTCGCCACGAGTGCTTCTTCGTCATTCTGCCCGGGACTCATCACGTACGACCGACTATTCCAATCGGGTCGGTTGTCGTTGGCATCTGGCATGTCGACGGTGGTCGTTGTAGTGGTCAGAAATTCGTCCTTTCGGCCCGCCCGAGCGAAGTTCCGCATGGGCATCGCAAAAGTCGGTTTACCGCGGCTTCCACTGCCACTCCCACTTTCATCTTGTCTTTTGTAAACTTCATGTGACTCCTTGACACTGGATCCGTGGACAATATATCGGTAAAGAGGGCGGACTGTGGGAATGCCGACGCAGATAAGCGTCACAGCAAGCTCGACAGCGGACCAGATAATGAGAGCAACCGTGTCCTCTACAAATGAGGGAAATAGCCATACATTAGCGGTGTCGATCTTTTGCTAAGTGGACCAAAACGAGCATGAACGTACCTGTATAGTTAGCACTCGACAATCCGCCGAGCTCGATAGTACGAATGATTCCACAGATACCGGCGCTGCAGGATGTATGTTAGCATGCTATCTCTCGCCAGAGACGTGGAAGACTGACATGAATCCTAGGCTTAGACTGATCGCGATCGTCATCTTCTCCTTGAACCGCATGTTGAGTTCCCAAATGAATATCCACGGCAGAATGGCAAAGTAAAAGTCGACCGCTGCACACCATGCTAAGTATAAAACCAAGGATAAGTCAGCTATGTAGCTAGAGGGGTTGTCAGGAGCAGCATACCGCCCAGTAGCACTGAGAACGGGGTAACGCTGACGATTGTTCGACCAGGTACACGAGGATCATAGATTGCCTTGGTAGGAAGGCGCTGGGTCCAGAAGATAATCGCCGTCATCACAGAGACAAGTGATAGACTGCCCATCGAGATCCAAATCGATACTCGATGCCATGCTTTTACTACAATTCGCAAAAGAAATATACCCAATGAAAGCTTCGCAATGGCCATCCCCAGAACGGCGAACGTCTGACCGACCATTTCCATGTATACGGCTTGAACAGCTTCATCCATGGACAGGCTGGTAATCGGCTGTCCGAACCCGTGCTTTCCGGCGATGGTGGTGAATATTGTATATAAGAGGAGGAATACCTAGGATCGAGAGTTAAGAATCGTTACAGAATCAGCTCGGCTTTCAAATGACAGGACCTACCCAGCCCAAATTGAACACATGATCGTCCAGCCCCAGGGCCTTGACTATAAAAACCCTGGTGTACAGTCGTAAAGGGACAAGAATAAAGGATAAAACAACCATCACCCACATCACCGCGATTGCCTTGACCCCTTGGCCGGCCAGCATCTTGAACGCACTTTAGAAAGAAGGCTACTAAGCAAGATGCAGGTTGTACGGCTGATGAGAAGTCGAATCAAACTTGAAGCCAAAGGCATGGAGGACGAGTATGGACAAGACTAGATATACGCGGTCGAATCGTACAAAGTTACAAAGTACCTTTGATGCACACCCTCCCTTGTCAACTGTGAACTATCAACAACCCAGCCCGTCTTTTCCCAGTATTATTTGAACTAACCTCGAGTTAGGACACGAAGGATACTGTAAGCCCTCCTTCCCGTCCCATAGGTCCAAGCTTCTAGCTCACTGCCTTGTACTTTTATTTTGCGATGTCCTTCGTTCCCCAGAGCTTTACTTCGTTCCCCGGATACTGGTCATATGCGAGCGCATACGGGTGCCCTAAGCCTGCAAATAAAGTTCTGTCAGTGCCTGTATCCACTTTCTACCTGTCATTTCGACGTAGCGCAACGGCACTCGGTCCGTGCAAGTGGAGCTATCGAATTTCCCGAGTGTGAAAGGGACCGAGACCCATGATGTGCAGGATGCCTCACCCGAAATAGTAACCGAGCCTCCCGGGGCAAGCGGAGGAAGGCTCCGGAAGAACCAATGGATCGGTTTTCAGTCCCATAAGAAGGTACTTTGGCGCCGGGGAAGAGCAAATGAAGCAGTTAAGAAATTCTAGGGGTGGGTGCGGATGTTCTGATAGCGCACCGCGTGCATTAGTGCGTGTTCTGGACCCAACATCATAGCGTCGATGGCGGATGCATTGGCCAATTGTATACGGGATCACCTCGTGAACTTTTATCTCAGACTCTCTAAATACCGGGAATACTCTGACCCTGGTCTCTCTAATTTATTTGCTTGTTTCATTGCCAGGGACTTCATCCTCAACTAATTCCAAAAATGGACTGTTTCTTGTTTTGGGCGCTCGACTATAGCCTGGGAGGCTTTGCTGTCTCGCTATTTGGCACATTGTGGATAGCCCTGGTATTTTGGTATCTAGCGACCTATCTCATTTCTCCTTTACGCAGGATCCCTGGTCCCTTTCTCGCCGGTGAGTTGTGGAAGCCACTTGCGCCAGGGCTTGGAAGCCGTCCTGTCGCATTAGTCTCTGTTGTCGTCATTAACCTCTCGATCGTAGGATGGACCAACCTCTGGCGCATATACCATGTCACACAGGGACAGTCTCAGGTAGTTCTCCATGAGCTTCACCAGAAATATGGCCCTGTGGTGCGGATCGCCCCTAATGTCGTCGACTTGGATCTACCCGCGATGATCAAAACAATCTACAACACAAAGGGGGATTATCGAAAGACCGAATTCTACCATGGTAGTAGTGCCAAAAGCAACGGCCAAATTATTTACAACCTATTCAGCGAGTGTGACCCCGATATCCACGCACAACAAAAGCGACCTATTGCCAAGTATTACTCCTTGACCGGTGTCCTACCCCTTGAGCCCCATATTGATGAGGTGATCAACTATCTCTGTCAGAGGCTAGAAGAAGAGTTTATTGATGGATCAAATACTGGCATAACATGCAAATTGGATCAGTGGCTGTTGTTCTGTAGGCTCACCTCTTTCATACACAGGCCGTGTTGAATGCTAATTGAGATAGACACATGGGACGTGGTAGGACAAGCCACCTTTAGCGAGCCCATCGGCTATCTCAAGAATGGCTTCGACTTCGACGGCACCATCGCCATCTCTGACACCGCTATGGACTATTTCTCTCTCGTGGGACAACTCCCAGTCCTAGACCATCTCCTAGACAAGAATCCTATCTATCGAATCGGGCCCCCAGCATTCGGTAATATCACAAACATCTCGATAAAACATTTACTTGACCGAGTGCAAGGCAAGGACACCAGCTACCACGATGCAAATAAGCCCGATTTCTTAGACAGGTTCATCGACGCCAAAGACAAATACCCTGACATTGTCGATGACAGCCAGATTATCTCGTACCTCATGATCAATATGATCGCAGGTGCAGATACAACAGCCATCACGCTGAATGCGGCGATTTATTTCGCTTTGAAGAACCCTCGGGTGTGGGCGCGCCTGCAAGAGGAGATTCTTGCCTGTCAATCGAGCCTGGACGCCGCACCGTCGGCCGTACCATACCACATTGCAAGTGCACTTCCATACCTCAACGCGGTGGTCCGCGAGGCAATGCGGATGCATCCCGGAGTCGCTATGACATTGGAACGGTATGTGCCACCCGGAGGGCTCACCCTACCAAATGGCCAATACATCCCTCAGGGGTGCATTGTCGGTATGAATCCGTATGTCATTGGTCGGAATCGGTCTGTCTGGGGCGAGGATTCCGACGTGTTTCGCCCTGAGAGGTGGCTACGTGACGATTCCCAGGAAAGTGAAGAGGAGTACCAGGCACGCTTACGGTTGATGAATAATTCCGACCTTGCGTTTGGCGCTGGGAGCCGCATATGCATTGGAAGAAACTTGGGTCTCCTCGAGGTATACAAGGTGATGGCCACACTAATCTCACGTTACAATATCGAGTTGGCTCACCCACACCGCGACTGGAAGACACACAACAGCTTCTTTGTTCGACAAGAGGGCATCGATGTTAAGCTATCCCGTCGTCGCTGCTAAAAGTGTGTTGCAGTCATTGTAAATCCAAGACGTATCCTATTTCGTGTCATCTTTCAGGTGTTAGCAGTGCCGCCACCTAATTGTTTTTTTTTTTTTTTTTTCCATTACAGCCCATGGCCATCTTGAACAATCTGGTGGACCACACGCCGTTCATTGCTTTCTGTGTTTAGTTTTTACGAGCTATTATATACCTATATATGTTTATTTGCGACTCAAAACAGTCAATTAACCAAGAGACAATCTGATCAGCCTTCGAGAACATATAGTCACCCACGTACAAAGAAGGGGGGCGAATTACCATACCTTATCTTTCTGAGTACTACCTTGGATGAAAGGGAAGAAGCAAGGATTGAAACAAAAGGGAAACATAACTCATTGCCAAATATATGCACTTCACTGCTGACATCAGATATTGTGTCGTGACAAGTAGACCTATATACATTGAACCGGCTACAGCAGCCCATACCCTTATATACAATACAACCACAGCTTCGTCAATCGTATCCTCCATGGCACTGTTCGATGTACATATTACAATCGACTTGCCTTGAAAAATTCCTCGATCCCCTCAGATGCTTCCCATGCTTTCTCCACAGCTCGCCCGGTGTTTGCCGGCAACTGACGCGTCCAGCTCAGTAACCGCTCATAGACATTTCCGTCCTTGCAACCCAATGCGCTACAGAGACTGCTATCGGTAAAGTCCCAAGCATCCGTCAGAGCAGCGATGTTGGGGAGGAGGTTGGCTAGAAGCTCATTAACATGGACGCGAATCTCGCTGAGCTCATCCGGCGTGAGCAGTCCATGCTCAAGGAAAGAACCCGCGGCAAAGGACGGGCTAGGACTTGTGATTGTTGTCAGAGCAAACAAACAGAAGAGTTGTGATAATGCCTGAGAGACAGGTGCGTCCCGTGTAGCTGAGGGCGACGTTCGCTTCAGGAAGGATTCTAAAACAATATATTCCACAAAGGCCTGGCCAGCTGCTAGACTGGTCATCATGCAGGTGTTCCACGCCTCTGCTGCCGAACAGCGGTTGCACATGTCTCGATACGAAGAGTATGCAGCGGCTAGCAGTCGCTGGGACCGTTTCTTATAGATCAACAGCAGTGTGGAGCCATCGAAAAGTGTTGTTTTATCACAACCCCGAATGCTAGACGGAGATGCTTTGTCACCGAGGTATGATCGGACGCCGCCAATGTAGTTCTCCACCTCGAGATCGACGTGCTGGCCTCCACACGATGCCTTGACCTGTTTAAACAGATATACTACCAGCTGCTGCCACATCACGTAGTTCTCGCCCTCGAATGTGGCGGTGGCAGAAACCGTTCCCTCGATCTCCGGCAGGCCGGACAGCGCAACGAACCCATGGCCGCCGCACATCTTCCTTGCTTCTGTAGCCCCGGCACCGGCGATAGTAGTGGCCCAGGCTTTTAACCCCGTGCTGAGGGCATGCATGAATGGCAACCGCGCGTGGTCGTCATTTTCTTGTTCACGGACGAGCTGATCGTACCTGACATCGAAGTCCTTTGCGGAGAACAGGATAGCATACGATTGTGCGATGAGAGTCAGCAGTCGGTAGTGCTGAGATTTGAACATTACGATAGCTGCCTCTTCTTCGGCCGCATCAGAAAACATCAATCGGCCTTGTTCTCGCACAATCGAATACCGCGCTGTAATTGTCACAGCTTGAGCTAATCCGAAGGCGACACATCGCACAATATTGCGCCGCGTGTCCAGCATGGTGGAGTAAACCCTCTTGGATAATGGGAGGGAGCCCACCTTCGTCTGCGCCTGGCAATACGTGCCGTCGCGCGAGACCTGCACATGAGCCGCCAGCAGGCTGCTCCTTGGTACGCGTAAGTAATTGAACCGTGCATAGCCATTACATGTTCCGTTGTAGGCCATCTTCATGCCTAGGTCCCCGAGCTCCACCCCACATACGGGAGCGAAATCCTCCAGTGAGCGGATCTGAACTATGAACATATGCACGCCGTGATCCTTGCCATGGGTGATCAATCTCGCCGCCACGATGGCATGAGAACAGCTAAAGCCCAGTCCGCCCGGCCAGTATTTGACCGATGTCGGAGTGGGAGAATGAATCGTGAACGTATCGGTATCGACGTCGAAGGTCGCCGTTGTCTCTATTCCTCGGACAAAGGTTCCATGGCCTAATTCGGTTTGAGCATATGCACCGTTGACTCTCATCTGGTCGATCTCCTGCAGCCAGTAGCGTCGCTGTTCCGCAGTTCCCTGCAATTCAATCGTTCTGCGAAACATGAGAAAGTTCATTCCGAATGGAGACGAGTTGCATATTTGGTAACGTTCGTTCAACCACTGGAAATGACTGTGGCCATGGGTTAACATGTCATGCGTGATGACACGAGCCCGACGGACTCCTTCCAGGTAGAGTCCTTCGCGGTCGAGGCCCGAGTAGATATGTGGTAACTTCATGTTATCGAGCAGCCCCAGTGCGTACTCCACACGATGGAATGCTTCTCGTCGAGCGCTAACTGTTGCTTCACTTTGTCAAGCGGTCAGCCTTCTTCCTAGTAAGTGACTATGGGCTCTGGATAGAGGCAGGGGTTAAAGTACTTGTCGTATATGATGACCGTCAGCTTCATCGGATTGAAGGTCGACGAAGCTCTGGCCTGCTGCATCAGATCCATCTGTCTATTGAATTCGGCCATGGTTGAGTAATCATTTGATAACAACGATGAGTGACTTTGATTTAGGTATGAACGAACTGTTGAACGTGAAAAAGAGCCTTGAGTTATAGAGGGCAGTATGGGCTGGTCAAGGCCATATATGTACTTGTTCTTATGGGTTTATCCCAGTGTTATCATAAGGCTTATACCCTCCCTCCCTCCCTCCCCCTCTTCTTCCCTTTTTTTTTTTTTTTTTTTTTC